ACTCGTCTCCCCCCCCACACCCACAGACACAGGTACACTAGCGTAGGAGCACAGGGCTTCCAACGGGAAGGTTCTGCCCCCGCATCTTTACCTGAGTCTCCCCCAGGACGTCTCGGTTCTCGATGGGGAAGCGATGCACGGATGAGAAGGTGTACACTGGGTCCTTAGGGAAGGTGGTGGTGATCTATGAGGAGACGGCAGGGGAGGCAGGTCAGGGCGTGCAGTGGGCATCATTCACAGGTAAAACAGTCACACTGCATCTTCTAAAGCCTGCCCCATGGAAGGCCGTCCACCAAACGGTGAGAGGTGGGCGGGGCCACAAGCAGCCACCTGAGCCCCAAGCCAATGGCACCACGATAATGTTCTGGAAACATTAAGATAGAGCACATCTGGAGGGGAAGGAATGACCCAAACACAGAGGTCTAAGCGACCTATTCAGAGTTTTCCAAAGCCTGCTGCTCTTTCAGGGAATAACACAAACCAAACTTTCCACCCCATTCAATCTTCAGAAGTGTGGCTTCCGGCAATGATTCAACGCCACCATTAGTCATCTCATCAACTAAGTGGAGTTTAAATGCACAGCCTGGGAGAATGACCATTTTGTGGGAATGTTGCTGAGTGAACGCCAGCCCGACACGTACACACCCAGAACAACATGGCGGAGCGGCCAGGACCGGTCACAGGACCGATCACAGTCTACCCATTTACCTGCAGTCCAATCCCAGGTGAGACTACTGTACATGAACAGAGGGCAGCAGGGCATTATGGGAGCTGGTGAGCTCATACATCCCAGTGGAGTCACAGATAACATCTTGAAGTAAGACTTCGATTTGACTCTTTCCTCTAGATATTACTGCACTCCATAAATGGAGTTGGGGGTGGGGGGGTTGGCAGAAACCTCACCCCCCTTCGGTCAGCTGACCTGTAATTATGTCATTACTTTCTGCTGGGATTACAAAACAAGCCACTCTGTGTGAACGCCTGGACGGCTGCACAGTAATTTAAGGCACTTAGAGGCAGCTCACGGAGCTTAAAAAGCAGGGCGAGTGTTTGGCAGCGGCGGAGCGGCTTGGGAGGCCCGAGAGAGCCGTACCCAGCAGTATGGGCCCCGCCAACAGGGGGCCCCGCCAACCCTGTTCAGGGCCCCCAGATTTTGGGCTAACAGCCTCCCCACACTGCCAGGCCCCCAGGGAAGGGGGGAGGTTAGTTTCAGGCTGGTCAGCCAGCCCCTTCCGATCACTACTGCCTCTTTTCCAAACAGCATCTCAGCCCAATTGACTATTTAAAAACTTGTAATCACAGACAGCAGTTTTGTGGTTCTATTTTTACACCTCTGTCAAAAATAACTGGGGCACAGCGGGGCAGAGCACAGCGGGGCAGAGCACAGCGGGGCAGAGNCTGGGGCACAGCGGGGCAGAGCACAGCGGGGCAGAGCACAGCGGGGCAGAGTAGAGCACAACGCAGCGGGGCAGGGCAGGGCAGAGCACAGCGGGGCAGAGTAGAGCACAACGCAGCGGGGCAGGGCAGGGCAGAGCACAGCGGGGCAGAGTAGAGCACAACGCAGCGGGACAGGGCAGGGCAGAGCACAGCGGGGCAGGGCAGGGCAGAGCACAGCGGGGCAGGGCAGAGCACAGCTGGACACCTCTGCACACATGGCTCCCCAATGAACAGCTCCTATCACACACTGACAGACGTTTTCCTGCAGGGCTGGGTACTTCCAGCTCGAGCCTGAACACCACCAGCCCCCCCCCCCCCTTCCTGGACTTTAATCTGCCGTCCAGCAGGCAGACACATCTGGAGTGCACAACAGACCCGTCTGCAATGAACATCTTGAAGTAAGAGTTTGAGATCACAGATGAGGACGCTCAGTGGTCACGCGTCTAGGTTACAGGCTCTCCGTTCGGATCAGAGACACCCCTAGAACCTGTCTTTCCGACGGCTGGATAATCACCACGGACACTCACATCAATGATCAGGTACTCCACGGGCAGAGGGCGCGCTAGATATGTGATGTCGTTGCCAAATTTGTCCTTGTCCTGCGGAGAGAGAGGACAAAGCATGACATTAAAAGCAACATGCATCAGGCCACATACATTAAAGCGTGTTACTGTGTGGACGTTGTTCAGTGTGACTCCATCTGCACCATATGACTGGCTGACAACAAGCGATACTTGGACTTTGAATGTTACAGGGACATGAAATAACTTGTTTCTAACATACTGAACAAAAATGTGGTACCAATAGTGCCAAAAAAAGCCTCTGTTTATGCCATCAGAGGAGAGAGACACACACACCCTGACCTGGGGGGGCTATATCCCTAGCAAGCTCCGACACCATCTCAGTCTGCAGTCAGCAACAGCAAGGAGAGGCAGCTATGGAATATGGCCTTCACAGCGGGAATCAGGTCAGGCTGCAGTCTGCGGGGCCACAGGGTGTGTGTGTTTTTGTGTGTGTGTGTGTGTGTTTTTGTGTGTGTATCTATGCTGTTCTCCCACCATATTCCCTATGACTGCTTTTTATAATCCACCCAGTCCAGCGACATCAGACAGTCCACGTTTAGCTCCCAGCAAAGCCCAAACTAACAAGAACGTTGAATACCTGGTACAAGTGTACCGTGTCTGGCCCCCTGTAGAGGGGGCACTTTTCAGCAAGCCCCTGCAAACCCCCCAGCGCTGGTACCTTGTAGAAGACGTCTGGCACGTACTGCTCCGTGCTGGACTCCTTGGCGTAGCCCAGCTCGGGGGCGTCCCGGCAGGGCAACAGGCACTCGTCCCGCACCAACGCCATGCACTGATTGGACACCTGATAGCCCTCAAAGTGCACCTGGTTGTCAGGGCCCCCTGCAGGTAGAAAAGTGAAGGACAGAGGGGTCAGGCTCGAATCCGCAAACCCAGGAGATACGCCGGCGGACTCAAAACAAAGAGCTTGTGTCTGGAGTTGAGGGACCAGCAGCCCCTGGAGAGAACAAACCAAGATGCGCAAGTGTGACAGAACCGGCAAACCCCCAATCATCATGAGCAGATGGAGAACACAGCCATTATGAACAAGGACCAGAAGGTTGCTGGTTTGCGTCCCAAGAGTGACCATGGTGTCCTACTAACTGAACGTGCAACATCTGAGCGGATAAATGGATAAATTCACACCTCGACATGGATAACAACATCATCAGCACACTGTGCTGCAACTATGCAGGAATAACGAACGCCACACCACTAACACGGGCAAGGAGGATCTGGGCCACAGGAAGACTTCAACTCAGAGACTGAATGGGAAATTACTGGGGGGGGGAAGCCAGGGTACCCACAACAGCCACGACGGGACCCCGGGCAAGAAGGAGGGAGAATGTGAGTAAGTAAAAACTGTGTGGGGTGAAAACTCCACGACACCACAGAGCCATAAGGCATTAGAGGGGGGAGATGAGGGAGCCTGGCCTGCACCCCCCCCCCTCCACGAACATCCCAGAGCCTGTGCTCACCGGTTCTGTTATAACACACTGCATGCAATGGCAAAAAATGTGCTGAGACGGCAGCAGTGGCCAGGGGCTCTGCTGCAGGGGGAGAGCAGTGATGGTTCTCCACTGCGGGGGTGGGGGGGGGGGAGCATACCTGTCGCTACCACGGTGACAAACTTGGAGCCAAAGTGCCCGTCAGGGGAGAGGCGGCAGGGGTTGGGGTGTTTGTTCTGGAAGTGGCCTGCTGTGATGCACTCCTCCGCACTCAGGAAATGGGAGTCCTGTACAGGAAGAGCGGGTCAGGCGGAGAGGA